AGTGATAGTTTGGTCATCCTGCATGTGATATCAAGTAGTTAACAAGCCTATTGCTTCCAATAATGACACAACCCACTGTCAACCAGATAAATGGGACACAAGATAAAGTATTAGATAGTGATAATTATCTTCCAATGATCTCCTGGTGTCCAGGGAGTTTTCTTTTAATTGATGCCAGGCACAGTTAATGCTCTATAGATTAGTTCTTATTGCTAACTGGATAGAGCGTTTACCTGGCATTACAGGGAGTCTGGCCTTCCTGTAAAATGCTTCACTGAGGTAACAACTCTTTGTGAATTCATTTGACAAGTTCCAGATGAACAAAGTCATTTCCAGAAAATGTTTTAATGATAGGCACAAACAGGAGCGATGATGCAAGGGCACATATGGTCCATGTTGCCTTGTCTCTGTCGCTGATGCTGATGATTACACCCAAAATTAATCACCAGTGTCGTGAACAAAACTCTGAGTCTGCAACAGTGGAAATTGCACACGTTCTGTGGCACGACCAAGTTTGTTGTAGAATTGAGCTCATACTTTCTTAAGCCCCACTCAAATGCTGCATTATAACATGACAGATATTATTCTAAACCACAATATTAGAGCAATTGCCCTGACTTGTTTTAGGCAGCTCCATCTGCCTTGGATCTGGTAATGTTTTTAGTACTCAGCACATTTAAATAAGCTTATTAAAGTTGTTAAGGCACCATTAATTGGGTACATTATGGCTACAGAATTAGTCTCCACTTGACAAGTACATTAGATTCAACACAGGGAAAAGGTTCTGCCCTTTTTGCAGCTGCAGAACAAGGGTCGCTGAGTAACCTACTGATACAAAATACCAATTATCCCTAATTTAGTGAACTGAAAGCTGATAATTGCGCTGAATTTGACAGAACTTGTGAACTCGTGAATCATAAGATGACGATGTGTCGTCCACACATCTGATTTCTGGGCCATCCAAACACATTTTCTCCGCGCATCACACAATGAGTAGTTATCCATTTTTCCTGGACCATTTGTAGGAAAATTACTTCCTGTACCTAACGGAAGAAAATTCGAATGTAACGGGAGCTGCCCTTTATGAAAGAGTTTTGATAAAGCCACGTGTGTTTGTCACTCATTTATATGGGGGGAAAAAAGTCTGAAAGGAGGAAATATTCTGGGTGAGTTCTACCACATTTTTTTGGGTAGAAGCTATTTTGGATTATTAATAATAATCCTTGCATTCGATATAGCACTTTTCAGGTCTTTGAGACGTCTCAAAGCACTTCACAGAATACACTCTAAAGTGAATTGACTGTATATTTGTGGGCGAAACGCAAATTGCGCACAGCAGTGTCCCACAGACTAGTTGTGGATTGAGTGACCAAATGATTATTTTTTTTTCTTGAGAGATTATTATCAGGCGTGTGGAGTAAGGAAACTTGCCCAAGGTTTCGCCCCCTGCCGAGAATCGAACACAGGTCTCTCGCTTGCGAGGCGAGCGCTCTAACGACTGAGCTACAGGATTCCGCATAGATTCTCTCCGCGCAACTTTTAGTTTGCTTGCAAAATGCTCACTGCACTTTTACTGTATTGCGCTTTGAGACTTCCTCCTGATGTGAAAGCCCTGTTGCCAAATGTAATGACTATTTATTTAAAAATTTAAAAATGTATTCAAGAAGGAGTGCCTGCTCTTCAGAGGATGATTTATTTTGTTGGTCAGGAAGAATTTATCTTTCATTAGTGACAATAATAAGTGGGAATGGTTCTTGTGATGAATGAATATATAACTCATTTAAGTTTAAACAACAAATCTACATTTCTTTGGCTTTGGAAATAATAATCTTTGCATTTGATTCGGGGCCTTTCACGTCAGGAAAGGTCTCACCCTCATTTCACAGCATTAAACTCTGCAGTGATTGTGTATCTTGTAGGCGAATGAATGTACAAGGTCATATAATTTTCTCTATTTTTGAAAAGATTCTTTGTACAATATCCATTAAATTAATAATAGTACGATACTTGCATTTGATATACTGCCATCCACTACACGTGGGCACCTGAAAATGCCTCACAGGATTTACAGTGAAGTGTAGTGACTGTGTATTTTGTAGATGATTCATGGCAGGTGATTTGTATACAGCAATGTCCCACAAACAGCCAGTTCTCATTGTTCGTTCAGCTGTGGTCTGATTTATATTTCAGAAAGCAGCATTTGAATTTCAGGAATAGCTCATCGCTCTTTGATTTGGTTATTCATTGCTGCGGGCAACTGAAGCTTTAATTAATTGCTGTCATAATGACAAGCACATCTTTTGAAGCGGTGGAGCTTCTCTCTCATTTGCACCTTCAACGGTCGCCCATACAAGAAAAAGTTTCTCAACGATCAAAGAACTCTCGACAGATCATGCATGTATTTCTCTCTCCACTTCGGATCAGATAACGAGACAACAAGACCGAGGCCCTCCTGGTTGGCTCCCGTCAGCGCTCCACACCTCAGGCACTGACAGCATCACCATCCATGGTTGCGCACTCCACCTCACTGAGTCAGTCCGGAACCTTGAGGTCTTGTTTGATCCTCAACTATCCTTTCTACCCCAGATCTGCTCCGTGACCCGCTCTGCCTTCCCCCCCCACCTCCGCAACATCGCCCGGCTCCGACACGGTCTCACGCCGCAGGCCACCGAAACCCTCATACACTCCTTCATTACATCGGGGCTCGACTTTGCAAACTCACTGCTTGTCGGCCTCTCCAACTCCTCCTCCATAGACTGCATGTCATCCAGAACTCTGCAATTTTGTAATTTTATTGTTGTTGTGGTGGTGGTGGCTTTAGATACCCAGAGCATTTCAGCAATGCCCCTTTGCTCATGATCTTAAAAAGCCGATCAATTAAAAAGCAGGACTTTTTCAAGTCCCGCCTGAAAACCTTCCTCTTCGATCGTGCTGACGGTCCCCCCTCCCACCCCCTCTCCGGCTCGGAGTCAGGCTACTATTAAGCGCACTGAGACGCTACCCTGTGAGGAGGGCGCTATCGGTGCAAGTTGTTGTTGTTGCTCAATTGGAATCAGCTTAGAAAATACCCGTACGCAATGTCTTTAGCCGCATTCGTCGCTGCTAGATTTTTTTTAGCAAATCTAAAGACATAGCTAACAATGGACCACGATTTCTATGGATGACTCAAGCTTCTCTTGTAACACACGTCATCCATTTATCACTTGTGCAGCAATCGAATAAACCAATACAGTTTATTGCACTTTGTTTGGAATAAGAAGCTCTTGTTACGCAGCAGTCATTTGTTGGGGTCAACTGACAACGTTCATTGAGGCTGAGCAATGAAGAAATCGGGACATTTTTTTAGATTACACAGTACATTTACATTTCATGTTTGAATTTCGAATGGGAAGGTAGCTACAGTAGTAGAGTATTTCTGATTCTTCAATCAGAATTGTGCTTGGATCAGAAATGTATTTTTCTGAACATCGCAAAATATGAAGCTTGTGAAAAAGGTAATATGACCATATGAACAATAACAATCATCTGAGGTGAGCGGGAGAGATATGTAATTGGATTAGGAACTGTGAAAACTTTTAAAAGAGTTATTCGCCTACAAAGTACACGGTCACTACACGTTGCAGTAACATCTTGTGAAGCATTTTGAGACCTCCTCCTGGCGTGAAAGGCGCTACATCAAAAGCAAGGATGATTACAACAACAACTTGCACTTACAAAGGGCCCTCCACCATGGTAGCGTCTCAGAGTTACTACTACTATTACTGTATATTACTACTGTTATTACTAATTATTATTGTTTCAGGAGAAATGCTGACCTTGTGTGGGTCGCTGGAGAAGCAGCATTTGGAATATTGTATGATGTTGGAGGGCAACTCATTTCAAAAGAATATTGAAGTGTTGGAGAGTGTTTAGAAAAGAGTGGCTTTAGATTTAAAGCTCTACGTTCTGAGGAGAGCTACTGGTGACAGAATTTTCCTTGGAGAATAGCAGACTGAGGATTGAGGGTAATGTGACCCGAGTCTATAAAAATATTGAATATGTGCGAAGATGGAAAACGGATGACACTATCACTCATAGGAGACAGATGACGCCCTGTATGAATTTGGTATTCTTAGATTCCTAAAGGTTAACATTTAGAGCAGGCTGCCACCTCATGGAAAGATTGTAAACTTGGGCAAAATGTTCCCAAAAGTGCCTTGCGCTTGTGCTTCAAATTGGCCAGATAAAAATTGGTCATTTTCTTTCTGTCTGTCTGTCCGTGGGAAATTGGTTGCCATGTTCGCCTACAGAGTTACTGCACTTTACTGCAAAAATCCTGGAGGGCTTTGAGACTTCCACCCAACATGAAAGGCACCAAATTCAAAGGATTCTTTACTTAAGTTGGTGGAGAAGAGACGGGCCATTTGCACACCGCAATGTCCCACAAACAGCTGGGGATTGACTGATCAAATGTGGTTTTTTTTGAAGGGATTATTACCCCTGGAAAGCGATCCGCCAATCGAATAACGACTGGATTCCTACTTACTGCTAGGTAAACAGAGGTGTGTGGAGTAAGGAAACTCGCCTAAGGTTTCGTTCTGACCACGAACTGAACCGCTGTCCTCTAGCTCGTGAGCCCTGTAGCTCAGTGGTTAGAGCACTCGCCTTGCAAGCGAGACACCTGGATTCAATTCCAGGCAGAGGGCGAAACCTTGGGCACGTTTCCTTACTCCAAATGTCTCTGTTTACCTAGCAGTAAGTAGGAACCCGGTTGTTAGTCGAAGAGTGGATCGCTTTTCCAGGGGTAATAATTCCTTCAAAAAAAATAAATTGGTCACTTCAATCCACAACTGTTTGTGTGGGACACAGCTGTGTGCATTTGGCTGCCGCGTTTCACCCACAATATTATACATCACTTGACAGTACGTTCTGTGAAGCTCTTTGAGATGTCTCGAAGACGTGATAAGGCGCTGTATCAAATGCGAGGATTATTATAATTATTTTTTTGTTTTTAAACGCAGCTCTGGTAACTCTCTGTGGGATCAGCGTGTACATTGGCTATTCGGCTGCAGCGTTCAAAGAAGCCGTGTGTCTGTCTGGCAAGAAGATCCTGGAAGACATTGACATCAGGTTCGGCTGGTCTTTGGCTCTGGCTTGGGTCTCGTTCGTTGCCGAGGCCTTCGCAGGTGTCTCGTTCATATTAGCTGCGAAAATGGTGGGAGTGAAAAAGAGACGGTATGAAGCAACCTGAAGTTTGAAAAGCCTTCCGTCCACAATGCAAGTGCAGCTGGATATCAAACAAAGGCGTTTGATTAAAGCATTTTTGGGGTCTCATTCAAGTATCTGTAAATAATTTTTCAGCTGTGTGAATATCCGCTATATAGATTGCTTCAGCCAGTCAGGTGGGAAAACTGCCCATCTCTTTTACGTACAAGCTAAAATTACATCAAAACCCATCAGCACTGCAAACATGCCATTGACTATTAGTTGCCAAAACACCTAGATTTTTCTTATTCACACTTAATTTGTCTGTATTCCAGAAAGCCTCTTTGCCACTGTTATTTTCATAGAAAATTGTAAGTGAAGAAATTATTCCTTGTGTAAAAAAAAAGGTTTGAATGTGAGATCGTTTCCCACAAAATATATGCAGTGCCAACACTTTACAGTGTCCTGTGAAGTATTTGAGACATCTCAACAATGCGATAAAGCGCTATATCAAATGCAAAGATTATTACTGTTATTCCTCCTAAAGTGGCATAGGAACTTTGCAGGAAAAGAACTTATTTTACAGGGCATGTGTTTTCATAAAATATGAAAAGCTTTGCAAATGACAAATGATTTTAAAAAGGTGAAAGCAGTAGTTAGTCAATGAGGAACAGAAGAGAAATCAAATTGTTCTGAGTGAAAGGCTAATTTGCTTTTTTTAAAAAAAGTCAATTGACAAGAAACCTACAGGAAAATAAACAATTTAATCACTGATTGTTGTAAAGCACTACGGACCTGATTGAGATTGGAAACAAGGCTTTAATTGACAAAATGCAGCAAAATTGAAAGGTGGGCGTGAAAATAATTTTGAATTGCATTGTATTGAAGCAGATTGGGTTCAAGATCTGCTCTCAAATGAGGTGCATTGAGTCTGTAATAATGATGATAGTACCATGTTCGGCCGTATGATATTATAGTGTTTAATAGCACAGGTTCTGTGCAGAAAATTGTATGAATGCAGTATTTGGAGGGGGGGAAAAAAAATCACACAGTAATTGCCCGAATCTTCCAATTAAGAATCGATTGCAGCAATAGGCCTTTTCAGTGTCTGTTTAAAAATTGACCAATTAGTGGATGCATACTGTTTGTCAGCATTAAACGTCCTGCTTTGACTGAAAGGAAACATTTCAATTGGCGATTTCTGCGAGAGCATTTTAATCGCAGAGTCTCCGTTTCATAAATACGTTTGCTTTAACGCTGACAAACCGGTGCAAACAATGTTTCGCTGGTCAATCGGGTTGTTGCACTGAGAAAATGTTATCACAAAACTTATCCCAAACGTTTGGTTTTCTGGTTCCCAGAAGAACGTCGATTGAAGTTAGAAGGGAATAGAAATCTCATTGAGATGAATCGGTAACAATATGACAATATGTTTGTTTCAAGAACAAATTTAGATAGAACTCTGCTAGAAAATAATATCTCGGGCTACAGTATATAGTTTCCCATGTCAAGCGACTGCCAGGATGGTGGAAGGCAAACTAGATGGACCTTGATCTTCTTTGGCCGAGCAAATTCCTATGTTCTTACGTTCTTAAATGGTTTAGAGCAGCGTTCTTTATATTGCAAATTTTTGAAGACACAGAATTAAGAAACCTGCAGTACTTGCCTCGTGATTGTTTTTAACTTGTTCGCTCACTCTTATATCAGATGGGTGAATAGACTTTTGTAACGGTTTTATATGTTTGTATTGCTTCCCCTGCCGATAAAGAACTGAAGTGTACCGAAACCTGTCATTTCATTCCGCACAGTACTTTATCATTTACACATCTTAAATACAATCAGTGAGAATGAATCAAAAACAGATGCATTTTCTACAACAGCAATTTTGTTGACCTGCATTATTAATAAGAATCCTAGTATTTCCAGCGTATAAAATCCCCCTGTTTCTATTCCTCCCCTACAACAGTATGTATTTTTATATGTTCTTGTTATACCAGTGTCTTGAGACATCCTTCCGACGTGAAAGGCACTATATAAATGTTATCAACAATTTGTTGTTGTATTTTATGTATACTATAAAAGGTCCCAGATTGATCCTTTTCTGACTCCTCTTACTTCGATATAACAAGTTTCATGTCATAAAGCCGTTCATTTTAATTGAATTAACCATTTAACTGTTTTCCAAGAGAGCAGGATGAGACACTTAGGCTTATTTTCAGCCGTTCTGAAATACGTGGCTATCATGAAGCTTACAATCTCTAACTTTGATTAAACTCCATTTAGTAGGACAATATTCTAAAAACTCATCCAGCCCTCAGAATGCCCTCTCCTTTTCCATCCTCCCTGAATGCATGCATCAACTTTCAAATCAAAGGCATTGTTTTGAATTTAACACTGCTTTTGATGCAAATGTACAATGACATTTAACATTATGCAAATGATTTGTTTGAAATGATGCTGCATCAATTTCAAGTTTTGAATTCTCCCAGTTTAATGGATCATTCAGCTAAGTGGATCACAGGAGTAATATTCCATCTGGGTTTAAATTTATTCCATTTATTAATGTATTTTGAAACCTTGGGCAAGTTTCCTTACTCCACACAGAGCCTAATAATAATCCCTCCAAAACCAAAAACAATAATAAATTGCTCATTTTCAATCCACGACTGTTTGTGGGACATTGCTGTGCGCAATTGGCTGCCGCGTTCGCCCACAAATATACAGTCACTTCACTTTACCGTGTGTTCTGTGAAGCGCTTTGGGACGTCCTCCCGACGTGAAAAGCGCTATATCAAATGCAAAGATTATTATTATTAGTAGTAGTATTATTTTAGAATGTGCAGAATTTGACAAATGGCTGGATTCATTTTTAAACTTCGAAGACTGTTTTCTATAACTTTTACCATAACTTCAAAATTAAACAGTACTTAAGGAGTTGACAGATTTGGAATGCTCTGAAATGCCAAGTTAATAGAGTAAATCTAAACCCAGGTGGAATTTGGATCTCTTGAGTGTTAAAACTTCAAAGCGATAACTTTGGCAAATTATTAAACACAAGTTTAATTTTGAAAGCGAGGTTTTCCTCGAAGGTCCTGTATGAAACTACGAAAGACTTCAAAATTACGACTGAATTCCACGAAGCTTGCCAAATTCTGTGCGCTCTGAAAATGCAGAGCAAAATACATCTGAATAAAGCTGTCCATATCACTCTGAGCTATCACAGACTTCAGAAGGCTTCGGAGTTTCGTTCGATACATCCACAAGAGTATCAAAACCACAACCTTACACTCGTCTGCATTTAAATGGAAAAGGTTTGATAATATTTGGTCAAAAAAGTTTTAAAAAAAACTTGAAGTATAAGTAGCAGTCAGACACTGCACCTGTGCATGATATTCACCGAGGGACTATATCAATTTCAGCAGATGTGCATGTAAATAGAATGCAAATATACATCCACTCAAAATACTCGCAGTGCATATTAACTCAGGCTAAATTCTAAAAATGCTCACCTCTGCTTCTTTTCGCTTCATCAAAAGCATGTCACATCGCAAGTATAATTATATCCTGTTTCTTTTGACCAGGCTGACTCTCTGTGAATGAGCGTTCAGGTTCAGTGCTCAATTGCAAATCACATGCAAATGCACCTAAACCTTCCTACACCTAAGTTCAGGCCCTACGAGAGCAAAAGTCCTTGATTTTTTTTTCCCCAGAAAGGCTCTGCCTGGATTGTAAGGATTATTCTTAGGCATTATGTGGTTTCCTCATTCAGCCGATTTCACATCTTCAAAATGGACCAGTTCCAGGTTTCTAATGAATAGACATTCTTAGGAGTCAAGCTTAAAGCTGCAATATTCATTATATCTGCAATGACGTCTTGGCTACAAAGCACAGGGACACAGAGGTACCACATTTACATCAAATGCTAGTGTTATCAGTTCTTTGAACCAGAGACAGAAGCGGGAATACGATCTAAAGAGAAATGTGGTCGCACAGTTAAAGTGAAGTGCTTGCTCAGCTCATTCGGAGTACAGTGAATCAAACCGTTTAGATATGAACTGTTTGTACGTGTCAGAGCAAATGTTTCTTTCAGGAGAAAGTCTACACACATTTAATGCTTTACAACCAAAGGTCTTCAATCTGATGGCATTAGGGTTGAGCTCAGCAGTGACCCTTGTAACGAATGCTGAGCCTGCTATCGCATGTGGTTCAGCAGTCAGCCTCGGAGTCACACAGTTGTGGGTTCGAGCCCCACTTCGGGAAATCTGCGTTCATCGTCTGGGCTGACCCTGCAGTGCAGAGGGAGCGTGACATTGGCAGAGGTGATGTCCTTCAGGTGAGATGTTAACACCGAGGTCCCATCTACCCGTTCAAGTGGACGTTAAAGATCCCTGACACTATTCGAAATAGAAGAGAGTTTCTCCTGGCTCCCCGGCCAACAGACCCTCAGACAACATCGGCCATTCATTCCATGACTTTTTGGGGGACACTGTTGTGTGCAAACTGGCTGCCATGTTTGCCTACCAATGGACAGTAACTGCACTCTGCAATAAATCCTGTGAAACCCCTCGAGATGTTTCGATGACCTGCATCAAATACAAGGATAATTATTACAATCATAAAAATGATAGACAACGTGGAGGCTATCCAGCCATTCATCCTCTTCAACTGTACCTAACTGCTCTCAATCCCAATTCACTGGCCTTTCCCTTGGAGTTCTTGTATTATAATAGCGACAAAACATACCGTTCATTGCCCTTGATGCTCTTAAAGGGAACATTATTGGCTACACCAGCCCCTGATTGAAGCCATGTTGTGTTAGCTCATGGTAAACGTGCTCAAAACAGGTGCTGAGTGAATGATTGAGCTTTACTTGGTAAATAATTAGCAGTTTTCCTGGAGAGAAGAAAAAAAAACAATCTTGGATTGCGAGCTCAAGTTTAGTTAAAGCGAAAAAGAATTGCTTAATCATAAAACATTGCCCTTTGCCACATTCTATTTCGATTCTCAAGTTGCAAACTGGATTATTAACTTTGTTTTAAACAGAGCAAACTGCTGACGTGACTGATTTCAATATCGGATTGCTCAGTGCTCTTCAGAAGGTTAAATACAGCCTGAATTCTTCTTCTTTG